TGCTATTTCCTTGTTTACAGAGTGAGCACACTTCCTTGTCCTCGCATACAAAAATTGGTTTTTAATATAATACCACACATTAATTGTTTCAGTTCACATATCGGTACTTTCTGAACATTTGCATCATATTTAATAAAAAAAAAACAAACATGATAAAACTTATAACTGTGATCATTTCAGTCATTGTATTGTGATGTTAAAATTTCATACCGTTTCATCTCTAGTTCAAACAGGGCATTAGGTTAAATGTCTGTCCCATGTCCCCAGACTGGATTGTTTTCAGATGTGGTTTTTATTTATTACCTCATCATGTTTTTCCTGTAAATATTGGTTTGTGTTGATTATCATGTTGTAATTGGCTTATTATGACAGCCGATACTCTTGAGCTCTGTTTACATGAGTCTGCTCTGTGTTTAGATGGTATTACGGTCTACTTATTTGAAGCTCATGTTGCTATTGTTTGATTTGGGCTCTTGAAAAAAGGACTCCTTTTTTGATTTCTGGCTCCAGCCTCAGATCTTTTCAGTGATTATCAACATTTTAGGCTGTACTAAGACTAGCCTGCTGCTTACTGGAAAGTTGGCTCATTTTCAATATTGTCAATAGTGTATTGACATGAATCCATTTGATACAGTTCCTTACAGTGACTGCAAGCCTTACTACAGTAGACACATTCATCTGGCTCAGAGTTAAATGGTAGAATATACAGTATGAGGTGCTTTCATTTTTATTTTACATTGCAATCTTTTGTAAGTTAATTTACTGATTCTGTGAGTGGTGTTCTTGCAATCTCTGTCATTCTCTGAACATTTGTCATATACTTTTATTAGCTGATCTGTTTTCCTTGAGTAGGCATAGTTGAAAGCTTAGTATTACTTGTATTATTTTCTTGTATTATTTTTAATTGTTGGAGCTGAGGTCTGTCTGAGGTTTGGGGTTTTTTTGATAAGTGGGTTTCCTTGGCAACTCACTGACAGCAATTTCCACAAAGGCTTTGTTTCTTTTATGACAAAATATTTTAAAAATACCATCAGAATGACATTTTTACCTCCACCTTGGCAGAGGTAATGTTTTTACTGGGGTGTTTTGGTTTGTTCTCAGCATAACTCAAATAGTAATGAATGGATTTTGATGACATTTTTTGAAGAGGGAGGGTATGGCCCATGGAACAATCCATTGGACTTTGGTGCTGATCCGGATCATCATCTGAGTCCAGGAATTTTATTAATGGATTATTTGCCTTTGTGAGACAGGGCCAGCTTCAGTATTTTTGCTTCCAACTCCATACACAGTGCATAGAATTCTTGGATAAAAACTGCACAGTTCCACATAAGATGTACCACACACCAAAGTGTGATCTACATCCAAGTTATACATAGTTTGGTGATTCTGAATGTTCACATTTTTAGGGCTCATGGAAGACTTAACTACTATGATGCAGCAAACAGTGCTACATACTTGCAACTAAGATCAAATTCTGGTTGAAACTCTTCTGATTCAGTGGCATGTCAAGATTTGATGTACTGTATCTTCAAAGCTTACTGAGCTAGATCCTGAAGAAATCCACCATTACTGAAATATCATTTTTCTTGAATAACTTCCAAACTAATGATGTGATTCCAAATGCCACGAGTCGATTTTTATGGTCAAACTGGGAATATTGCTTTTAGGTGTAAAGCCATTATGGGGACAGTAAGCTACCTTGGTGAAGGTTTGCGCGCTCTCAGTGCTTTATAGTTTAACTTGTGTATGTGCACTGTTAGTGCTAACAATTTTGTTTGCAGCAAAATCATAGAGGATTATCTTGTAATTAAAGAGAACCTTTACAGAAGTATCCTACCAGCTTGTATATGATCTATATTTGGTGTAGTTGACTGATAGAATTTTCAGGTGTCACTTTTGAGCTGTATTTAATTGAAAAGACTATTCTCTAACCAGTCAGTCTTCTGTACTTGGACTCCATCTACTGGCCAATTGTAGATCCTGAGCTTTTAATGAGAAAGACAAAAAGCACAACTATGCTAGTTACTGTAATATGAAAAGGATAAGTGTGTAATGCCTTTAGTTGTCTCACTGTCACTGTATATAAAGTTTCTACAAATACTTTTATCATCCACCAACAAGGCCTGAATGTCACTACTTTTGTACATCTCAGTGCATGGTTTATGCTTTTTTTTTTAACCTCAGCTCCAATTTAAGCTTCTTAATCATGTATTTGGATGCACTTTAATAGGTTAAATATTAGCAGCAGGAACACAGACAGCACGTGGCCTGTACCTGCAAGGTTCAGTATCATCATCTCTCTCTGAAGGCAAAGAATAGCTCAAGCTGACACAACGGGATTCTGCTACGGATACTGTGTAGACAGCTGTGCAGATCACCAACTGAATAAGTCTGGCTGTAACTGTCATTATTATGTTTACCTTGTCAACAGTACTTAGTTGAAAATATTCATTTTCTGACAGTGACAGCTTTTAGCAAGCAGCACTTCAGAGGCTGAGAAATAAAGCTAATGCCTTAGTGCCAAAACCTGCAGTTCCCTGAATGTCCATTTGAGGTGAATTTTTATACAACTCACCCAGTGAAGTTATACTGACAGTAAAAGTTATGCATAATGAAGTGCAAGGCTGCTTTGAGTGACAGTCATGAGGGCCCCGCCATAGGTGGCTGACCACTAGCTGTCTAACAAGCTCCACTCACACTTCCTTTTTGTCAGTTTTTGGATTAGCCATAGCAGGCAGAGTGAAGCACTAACAGTATGGTGACAGCCAGACTTGAGCTTCAAAATTGCTCTTCAGAAAACCAATGGGTGATGTCACAATGGCTTTGTCCACCTTTTATGTACAGTCAGTATCTTTTAGACAGTGTAGATACGTATCCTTTAGCTCTATGGACAATGACAGTAGTAAACAACAGTGCATGGAAACCTCTCCATGATCATATGAACTGCATAAATGTGTTTTTCATGTACCGTGGTAAAAAAGTCTTCTGAATGTAAACTTCAACGTGCACAACAGGCTGCGAAGAAACATGGTTTGGCAAAAAGAAAAAAAGAGCCCAAAAATAACTAGTCTCTCAAAATATTTTTTTCCTTTGCTTCCTTTTCAGTTCTACAAACATGTTGTCCAGAGTGTAGAGAAGTTCATACAAAAGGTGAGTTATGTTTAAAATGTGGATTGTCAGTCACACCCTTTTTTACCCCAGCCATTTTTATAATAACCTAACAAGAACTGTTTGTGTATTACAGTGCAAACCAGAATACAAGGTTCCAGGGCTGTACGTCATCGACTCGATTGTCAGACAGTCACGACATCAGTTTGGCACAGAAAAGGACGTTTTTGCACCGCGCTTCAGCAAGAACATCATTGTAACGTTCCAGCACCTCTACCGCTGCCCTCCAGATGATAAGGTCAGACACTTTTTAAAAGGCTTTGAGTCCCTCACTGTGGCTTTTCATTTTTGTTGCTTATTATGGTTTAATGAGAAATGATATTAGACTCCTTGATGCTTGCTTCAGTTTTACAGGAAAAGATGGTGTGATGAATAGATTAGGCACTGGACTTGCTTCATTGCATTGTTGCAAATGAGCAATGATGTTTTAAGTACTCAAATTGTTGCTCATTTTTGTTTTCATTTTTGACTTGTAGTCCTTCTTTAGGTTATACCTCTCGCAGTGCTCAGTGTCACATCACAGTTGCTTTTGTCTTCTGTATTGGTGTTTGCAGAGTAAGATAGTGCGAGTCCTGAACCTGTGGCAGAAGAATGTGGTCTTCAAGAGTGACATAATCCAGCCTCTGCTGGACATGGCAGCAGGGATCCCCCCTCCCAGCGTCACACCTATCATGCCCACTAGTGCTGCTCCAGTCAATAACACTACACCTGGTCAGTCACAGTACACACAAGTAGAAAGGAATACGCATACCCATACCTGCTAATTATATGGTCAGATGACTTGTTTGACACCACTAGGTAATGTCACTTCATGCTTTATATTAGAGTATCTCTGTCTCTCTGTATCAAGGTACGCCAGCCACCCCGGCCACCCCAGCTAACATTGTCCAGGGTCTGCCTGACTGGGCTTCCCAGATTACCAACACAGACACTGTGGCTGCTGTGGCACAAATCCTACAGAGTCCCCAGGGACAGCAGGTTAGTTAATAAACATTTAACCTCAAAATGTTTGTGGTTATGGGTAAGTACTGTATTTTGCGCACCATAAGGCGCACCAGATTATAAGGCGCAGTCTCAATTACGGGGTCTATTTCTGTACTTAACCCATACATAAGGCGCACCGTATTATAAGGCGCATGCTAAAACGTAACGGAAGCAAAACAGTGAGTTTAGTTGAACTTTATTCTATTTAACAATAGTTGAACTTTATTCTATTTAACAATACACTCACATTATTTTTTAATCAATCTTCTCCCACAAATCCATCAAAGTCCTCATCTTCTGTGTCTGAATTGAACAGCTGGGCAATTTCGCCATCAAACATGCCTGGGTTCCCTCTCATCATTGTCTGAGTCAGTCTCGTTGCCAGGTGGCTGTTCAGCAATGATGCCGGCTTTCGCGAAAGCTCGGACAACAGTTAAAGCAGATATCTTAGCCCAGGCATCCACAATCCATTCACATGTGCGTAACTCGCCCGGCGCTGCTTCCCAGTCTTAGTAAAGGTGTGTTCGCCGTCTGTCATCCATCGCTCCCACGCCGCTCGCAACTTCACTTTGAACGCCCTGTTTACACCAATGTCCAGCGGTTGGAGTTCTTTTGTTAATCCTCCCGGAATGATGGCAAGCTCTGAATTCATTCGCTTCACTTGGTTTTTCACAGTAGCGGTGAGATGGGCGCGCGTGGAGTCGCAGATCAACAGGGACGGTGATGCGTGGAAAAAACCATCCGGTCTCTTTACATACACCTCTCTCAGCC